AATAGTAAATAATATCGATATTATTATGATATAAGTAAAAAAATTCAACACGGGTTGACATTTTCATATACATATTGTATATATAAAATAAATAAATTATATTTATCTTTATAATAATAATAAAATTATTTATTACAATTAATTAGAAAATAAAATTATTCATCAATTAATATTTTTCGTAATATTAAATAAACATATTCTACACTTATGCATATACATATCACCATAATATTTCTATTTACTTAAGATATATATTTTTTTGCTTATATAATAGTAAATAATATCGATATTATTATATGATATAAGTAAACAAATTCAACACGGGTTGACATTTTTATTTAGTGTACAGGTATTTACTTATTATGATTAAAAATTATAATTTGACAATTTAATTAAAACCCAAAGTAGTGTTTTATATAAAATTAAATAATTTTAATTTTTAAAAAAATAAAAAAATTAATATTTTTTACAAAAACTTTATAATTCAACACCCGTGTAATACACGGGTATTGCACTAGTTATTTTTAAAAGCGCAATTTAGCGTGCTACATAGCACGAAATAACGTAAATTTGTTCGAAAACGTGCCTTTGCGTCTGTAATTTTGCGTAGTTCCAACAAAGCATACGCTTTTGACGACGTGGCACGCAATTTACGCGATAGCGTACGTGATTTACGCTATAGCTTAAATTACACTAGTAGTCACCCGTGCGATGCACGGGGATATTATTATCTAGACTGTTTTTAAAAAACAATTTTGTATATAAATTGTGTTATGCAGTCAAGAATCATGATCATAATAATAGACATATAAACATATCATTAAATTAAAAAGATCATATATTATTGAACACTTCCCTATATACAACATTATTGGTTTCATTCTTTGGCACGTCATCTTCGCCACAAATTAAAATTTTCAAACCTTTTCGGTTAGTGACATTGGAAACAACAATATATAACTGGTCATGACTGAACACTTGTTTCCCCTAATTTCAAATTCAAACAAAAATTTATTATCATAGATAAGAAAGTAAATATTACATTATACTATTATACATGGATAATAATATGTGGGGGTATGTTGTAATATTACTCCGGATCCATTAGTGAGAATGCTATCATGCGAGTTTGAACTCCTTTAACGTTCTTCATTTGAACGGGATGTATCTCGATCACCATTCCAATGACATCTAAACATTACCAAAATTAAATGCGAGTAAAAATATTATTGAACGTAAAAAAAAAAAAAAAACGTAAAAAAAAAAAAAAAGTGAAAGTGCAGTTAACAAATAGCATTGGTTCGTCGATTTTCTCGACATCAATCAATGTGATGAACCTTCGAAAGTCGAAACGGAAAATTGGAAAGTCATCCTTGTAGCTTATGTGTTCGGTTCTACCATGTAGTATAAGCATGTTTTGTGCAACGGTGGATCTATACATTCTGATATTACCCTCGACTTGATAGTTTCGAAATGCATAAACAACACCTTCTTCAAACTCATTGATGAAAGTTGGGATGTTGATTGCTCTTACTATCCTAGTAATTCGACCTCCCTGAAAAAAAAAATATAATAGATATTACGATTAACATGATGAGAAAAATGAATAATCATTATTTTTTATTATGAATTAAACTTCAATATCATGAAAGACAATTTCAAGGATGTTCTTATAGGATGAGTATTGATTAGTCCTTTGGAAAACTCGAACCACCCTCAACTTGAGCATTGGCCTATTGGTCCTTGTTACTTGTTTGATGTTTCCCTATGCTCTCGCCATTTTTCTATTTTTATGTGAAATTGTAGTGTGAGATTTTTGTGATACGTGATATAAGCTCGGACATTTATTTTATACCCATAGGATGAAAGTTGATAACCATTAGATTAGATGATAAGATTAGTTGGACTCACGTTAATCTCTCCTGATAAGATTTACTGAACGTGATTTTAATTTAAGAGTTCCAATAAATTCAAACTCTAATATGATGATAAGATTAGTGAGAATAAATTTATCAGATTAGTTAGACGTGATTTTAGTTGGATGTTAGATGATAAGATTACTTGGACTCATGTTAATCTCTCCTGATAAGATTCATTGCACATGATATAAATTCAGAATTCCAATAAATTCAAACTCTAATATGATGATAAGATTAGTGAGAATTGATTTATCAGATTAGTTAGACGTGATTTTAGCTGGATGTTCAAAAAATTCAAATTCTGAATAATATGATGTTAAATCTCGTGATCACTCCACTGTAGGACTCGCTATTTGTTATTTGTTATGTATTTTAAATGAATAACATTAAATTCCAAACTGTGATATTAATCTGGTGTAACAAATTATTGTTACATAACAGATTATTCCACCGTGCGATTTTGCATAATGAGTTATCCATAGTTCTAAATCACGTTAATAATATGAATTGTTTAAGTTTGTTTTGATAAAACACAAATGATTATCAATTTTGAATTCAAATGGAATTCAAAGAGTGATTTTCGCAATTTTCATTTCAAATAATGGAATTCAAAGAGTGATTTTAGGTCAATAACAAACACAAATGATTTTTGTTGAGTACGATTTTTCTAAAACACACATGATATTTGTTAAAAAAAAAAAAAACACCAATTTTGAATTCAAATGGAATTCAAAGTGTGATTTTTCGGTCAATTGAAACCTATACCAATTTTGAAATCAAATTGTAATTTTCAACCTTATATTTTTTTGTGCAAAATAATGAGCAATTTTCATTAATGAGTTATCCAATCCAATATTATTTCTACACCATTAATTGTATTATCTCTACAATTAATTTTGAATTGAGACAGATATTCATTATAATATAATAACACTAAAATTTATAATAACACTAAAATTTATTATAGAATTCGGAATTCAACGATAACAAATATAATAACACTAAAATTTATTATAGAATTCGGAATTCAATGACATGGAATGAAATTAAAATTCGTAATAATCAAACTCTAAATATCATAAATATCTTCTACTCAAGGAATCGAGTGTATACCAGACTGGCGGCATCATATTATCGATGTGTTCTGAGATATATCTCTTTTTTTTTTCTCTGTAAAATTTATCTCGGTTTTTTTTTCCTTTGAACTGTGAATGACGTGAAATATTTTTTTTTTCTCTGAACTGTGAATGACGTGAACTCAAGATTTGTGTAATTATGTAATGATAATTATGGATCCAATTGTGATAGATATTCCATAGAGACTTATCTCTTTATCCCAATAATATCTCTAATCAATTAATTTTTGAATTCACTTATCCCAATAATATCTTTATCCCAATACCAATAATATTTCTAATCAATTAAGGTGACTTATCCACTTATCCACTTATCCCAATAATATCTCTAAGCAATTAATTTTTGAATACGAGATGGAATGAAATTAAAATTCATAATAATCAAACTCTAAATATCATAAATATCTTCTGCTCAAGGAATCGAGTGTATCACAGACTGGCGGCATTATATTATCGATGTGTTCTGAGATGTATCTCTTTTTTTTTCTGTAAAATTTATCTCGGTTTTTTTTTTCTCTGAACTGTGAATGACGTGAAATATTTTTTTTTTCTCTGAACTGTGAATGACGTGAACTCAAGATTTGTGTAATTATGTAATGGATTATGGATCCAATTGTGATAGATATTCCATAGAGACTTATCTCTTTATCCCAATAATATCTCTAATCAATTAATTTTTGAATTCACTTATCCCAATAATATCTCTATCCCAATACCAATAATATCTCTAATCAATTAAGGTGACTTATCCACTTATCTCAATAATATCTCTAATCAATTAATTTTTGAATTCAAGTATGACTTTTTTAAAATTTGGTGTATTATAAATGCTTTAAATATGGTTTCTATATTTAGAATGTCAAAGTTTTTTTTTTTTGGGTCAAAAGTTTCTAAAAAGGTATTTTAACAACAACCTTTATATATATATATAGATATGCTATTTGGGACCCTTAATTAGTTTTCAATTTTTATAGA